ATCTTTTTATAGATTGGGTGAGGCAATAGCTGACGAAATGACTGTTCTTCCCAAAGATGAAGAGTTTCTATGGCAACTTTCACAACTGAAAGATTCTCCTAATAGTACCTGTATTGATGTTTCAGTATTTAAGGTGTTTGGCAGTTCTACTCTGTCATATAGGGTTGCTGTGAGTCGGCATTGGCTCGAGGTCACACAGTAACAACATGCAGTAGTTACCTCTCTAGTGTTAGACAGAGACTGATATATGATGGAACAAAAATCATTTTCTTATTGGTAAGTATTGCATCTATCAGGGCTCTTGCAACTTCATCTGTCTCTAATACAGGCCACAGTCTGTGATACAAAAAAATTTTTTTTAAGTTTTTTTTTATATATTGACAAAGGTAGAAAGACTAACTTTTGTTTTTACCAAATTCAGAATTAGAATTTAAAATGTTCCAGCATTCACTTGATAAATACTACCAACCCAATATCCACACACATACGCCATGTTGATGTTTTGTTGTCACCATCTCATACTTTCACATCAGATAGGTGTATTTAATGTCCTATTCAGTCATAATATCAAAATTGGAGAAAGGAATTAGATGGTAGCGGAGTGGGCTAGGAAAGAAGCAGCTGGCATCTCATAGGGCCTGCTGGACACAAGGACAGGATTCTATAGCTAATTATACTTTCTTTCTTGTGGAGTTATCCCATAAGGCTGAGTTGTTTTGAGGGCTTTGGGTACTTGAGATTCACCTCTGACTTGCCCACCCTGCAGTTTTATTGAGAGTCCAAGAGGTGCACAGGCAGCGTTACATCACAGCTGGAGGAGTGGCTTCTCTTATACTGGAGACTGTGTACATGGGTTTTGAGAAGAACGCATAATCTCAGGTCCAGTGTAGAAGGCTCATTAGTGCAAGATGATGACAGAATTAAAATGTAAATGGATTGAAAATGTTGTAGCAAAGCTAAGATGTTTAGGCATGTATTAATGGCTAGTGAACAGAAGGATAAAAATGTTGTGTGCATGAGTTAGGTAAGCAATGAACGCTAAAACGTCCTTCCTTGAGATACTGCGGTTTATTGCAGATTATCATGTACTTGAAGTTTCCATGGTATTGAGTGGGAAGCCATTAGAAAATAATACAAATCAGCATTTTTCTAAGTTATTCTTTCTGCCTCTTCCCTTGCTGATTTTCTACCACCTGGATCCATCAACCCTGTCTCTGAATCAAGTCTGATAATGGCATATTGACATCTCATCCCTTCACTCAAGAAATTCAGAATCCAGCAGCCGAGGTAAAACCAATCCCAAATCTTTAGCATTTAGCACCTGCGCCACCTAGGGTCCCACTACTCTTACCCTTCTCATCTATTGTGACTCTCCCACCACTCTGCCTGGTGCACTTAGCACAGCCCATAATACACTAAACCTGAGTGCTTACTAGGAGGACTTTTTATAGGGCCCGATTCTCTATCTAAGAAAACAGGTAGGAGTCCCAATCATATCACAGTGTTTATTACAGATCATGCCCTTGTTAAGTACTCATGCTCTAGCCCTACCTTAGCTATGAAGGGTTCCTAGGACTTCACTGCCAGGAAATGACTGCCGCTGGAGACAGCACAGCTAGTTCAGAACTTAAGAGTCTGTAGCCTCAAATGAGGTTGAGCTTAAAAAGAAATTTATTAG